ACTATCGTGAAAATAGAGACTTTTCGATTTGATAATGATAACAAATGCAGCAAATATTTTCTATGGTAGTTATATGAGTTTCAGTAAATCTATTAATCTATTAAAAAAAACAAAACTTTGTTGAAATAAATCAAAATGCTAGTCAGCGATATGTAACGAATCATTTTTTTTTTTTTGAATTGACTGTGTGCACTGTGCATATATGTCAAAGCATTGTCATTTAAACACCACTGAACATAACCTCACAAATGACACATCAATTTAAACTCACATGAAGATCATTGTAATAAAAAAACATCGTGATATTCTGAATTCTATTTAATTTAAAATAAAAATGAACATGAATGTTTGTAGACGATTGTTTTCAACGCTGAATAAATTGTAATCAATTAAATATTCAATAAATTCTCGAGTGAAAATTTTATTAAGTTATACATAAAAAATCATTTTTTTATTTCTAGGTCTGCGCTCCCGAAAATCCAAGCAATAAATCATAGACCGGTGCTAAGCATAAGCCTGAATCAAAAAGCTGTCTTTTGCAGTCGTTCCAACGATGGAGAAAATGATGAAGTATGTATTAACTATTGTGCCAGTAACAGTAATTCGGTTGTTATGATTATTATTTTTGCGATCTTACAAACCAAAATTGGGTCTCCGAAGACGCAATCTCCAGCCATATCCACATATCGATTGTGTCAGACAACTAAAAGTTGAAAATTATTTACAGTCATCTCCACTTATAAACACGTTAAGTATGGTGAACACGAATTTTTGCAGCGATTCGATGGATATGTGTGTGTATTTATAAGTGGATATCATCATCCGCGTAAACTTGATGCCAAATCGGGATATTCCGTCTATTTTGGTCCGGATCATAAATTGTAAGTTCTTGAAAGCTGCATGAGTTACTTCCAATTTTTGTATATTAAAAAATGTTCTAAATTTGTACACAATGTATTCTCTATAGGAATTTGCAAGGAAGTGTTGAGCGACGGCAAGCATTGCACCATGCAAAACTATATGCCGCAATGGAACAAATTCCAAAAGATTCGTTTAAAAAATTGTGCATTCAGACCGATGAACTTGGACTGATTACGTTTATCGATCAAAGCTTACGAAGCATGAGTGAAAATTCATTTCGCAGTGTCCACAGCGGATAATTAAATAAGGACTTACAAACATCCATGGAATTAAATAAAATTCTTAGATCGAGACAAGATCTGACATTGCAATTAATGGTTTGCCCGAATGATATTGGTGTTAGTGGCATGTACTATGCAGTGAAAATGGCAGAACAAGCTGCTGTCATAGCTACAGCAGACACTGGAAAACAGATAATCGAATGAAAATATAATTTAGAGTAAATAAAATCAGAATAAAATTAAATGAATAAGGTTTTCATTTGGAAATGTACATTTAAATGTATCAATGTATTTGGATTATTGGATTATTGGATTAAACGGGGAGTTATTCACTTCGATGCTCAAGTTTCTTAACTTATTGCATGACGACCCGACTTGTGCTGTCACTCGATTGCTTGGAGAATGCTTCCCACGGTGTGGCCCACTTTATAGCAGCCATGTTACTAGCCTCCGTACAGGGCCAGTGACCAGGGCTTTCTTCTCAAGTCAATTGTCGTGACAGTCACAAGTATTCCATTCATTCCTAGATGGCGTTGAGCTCTTCTTATTTCAATGGAGGAATGCACATATCGCTGGTTTACCGGTATATTCACCAGAGATGTCGCACTACCTTTTTACGGTTGACGTATTGGATATTTGACATATCCAAGACACCAACCTAACGTAAAGGCACTCCATTTTACGTGTGTCTATGCTGAACCCATTATTCGTTGTGCACACACACGGGACCAACGGCTTTAAGTGCCCTCCGAAGCACTCCACTAGCCCGAAACCCGGCCAAATCTATTCCGCATAAAACCACTGATAATTCCTGAGCGAATCACGGTGGAAAAATACCGGACCAAATTTGACCGGGAATCGAACTCGTGTCCTCACGCTCACAAACCTGGCACGCTAACCACCTGTATCAATGTATGGTCTGTTATTCAGTTCAAAACTATTGTACAAAAATATACTATTCACAAAAGGGCATTTATCACTCATGGATGCGGTTGTCTCTTTCGTAATAAATTCGTTTTTATCATGTTCCGCCATTGAATCATAAAAATGTGAAGAACCTAAAATGAAAATAAAAATAATAATATTTTATATTATATACACTCCGCGAAAAAAGGATAGACGCAATAACCTTTTTCCAAAAATCTTATTTAAAAAGCATAGATTTCTTTGTGATTTTTTTGTCAATTTATTTGGTAACTATTTATCCACACATCACAAAAAGATTTATCAAAAATAATTTTAAGAATTTTATTTTTTTCAAGTTTTTCGAAATTTTGTACTCAACAAGTGCGGATGGACGCAAATAAGGATGGACGCATTCACAGTTTTTGATTAAAAATCAAATTTTTCGTGAAATTCTTGATCAGTAATTGGTGTGTTGGTTTTTAATTCATTAATTCTGAATATATATAATCATTTTATAATGATCTGTTCTAATTCAGTTAATTCGTTCAACAATTTTCGAACTTGAGTTTTTTCAATTTTTTATTACGTAAAATGAAGTTTAGCCCATCTATATCGCAACATGTTCGATAGAAATTGAATCTTTCCAGATCTATCAGATCAGAGTATGCTCTCAGTTATTTGAATGAAAAAAAAATCTCCAACGTATTCGTATTATTGGCGAACGTGATGTTAATTGGGAATAAAATGAGTAATAATTAATTTTTTATTCGCTATGTGGCAGCACTAATTCAATATGACATTTGTGAAGCGACATTTCTAAGTTCATACTTACGTTTTATTATTAAGTGCACAACAAAGCGACATTGCGATGGCTGGACTAAAAGGTAAAAAAAAATCGGAAAAATTTCTTCAAATAATTTTCATTTAAAATCCATTTAATATCAATAAACTTTGTAACTAAATGTTCAAAAATTTTTACTGTTTTTTTATCCATTAAAATGAATCGACATTCATGACGATGACTCACAAATTACATTGATACTTTTCGGTGTATGTAAACAACAATATCAATTGAAATTATGTGCTCTGTGTGCGAATCATCAATTTGATAATGAAATAGCGTAAGTAGTAGAAAAAAATTCAAATGCCAACACGAAAAATATTCGATTTCATTTAAAGTGGTGAAAAAATTAATCGTTTTATAATGTGTTTGTTTATGTTTCTTCCTCAGTCTTATTTTGCTGGCACTGGCCGGTTCAATTGGGATAACAATGCTGATATTGGCTTGTGCCCTTCCTGCCTTCAAGTATGTGTTACACTTACCATTTGATGTTTCATCAAATTATTCATTGTGATTTTCCTTTTTTGGTTTCAGCAATTGGTGGCCTTTGATAGTAGTATTATTTTATATATTTTCGGTACTTCCGACATTTATGGCGCGACGCTATACACAAAACTCATATGCGGCTGGTGGTACCGGCTGTCATGAAGTGTCGATTTTCGTCACAATGGGATTTGTTATCAGTGCATTCGCATTACCACTTGTACTAGCGCGTTCACAAATTGTATGTTTCGAATCACCAAAATTGTGATAGCATATTTTTTTTATAAACTAAACCATGCAAATTGTTTGAATTCGCAGATTCATCTTACAGCCGCATATCTAACGCTTGGGGGAAATTTGGTGATTTTCGCAACCATTTTCATATTTTTCGTGTTAGCTGAACAAGATGATGCTTCATATGGAGGCGGTTTCTAAGAAACACCCTGTTGATTTTGTTAACACAAATGCTCCAAATTTATACAAACTTATTTTGAATCTTTTTTTTCCTTAATTAATTTACGCTATGGTATTCAGAAGAAAAAAAATGTAATGAGATAAAAGTACACACACATAAAACACATACACACACAAATCTTGCAACAAAATGAAGTACACTGGAATAATAATATTTTATACCGAATTAGCCTAAACGTTTAGAGATTCTATTTTTAGTCGAATAAAAGGGAAAAAAGAATAATTTCTAAAAACATGTTTTTTTTACTCAAATTTCTTTGAAACACCTAAAAACGTTAGAAAATACCTGGTACGATCAGGAGACAAGGATCGTGTTTGCCATCTGGAAATGGTTTGTTTGTTAGCTATACAAATCTGTCATCGAAAAACAATGTGAAAGGAGAAAGAAGATCGACTTTTTCAAAATCTCTGCAAGGTGATGAGAATTTTATTTACATCGCAGTACTTGAGGTCAAATTGAACAAAATTCCCAAAAAAATGACAAAAAATAAGAAAAACAATGTTGTTTGTTCTGCTCAAAAGTTCATTTTTATTCAAATTTAAATGTACACATAGAATGTCCACAAAAATCGAAATAGTACGTTCAAAAATGTCGGTTAGCCGTCAATCGTACGTATAAGTTTGCAGCAATGTGTTTCGTTCGCATACAACCAATTTACTCTCTTATACATAAAATTCTAAAAATCATTTGCAGAAGTCAAAAAAAACATACTCTCATACTAAAATTGTAATTAAAAATGGTCGATAAAATGGTCTGATTGAAAATAACACTAAAAATAAAACACACTAAAAATCTAAACGAGATGGATGATTTTTTTATGAGATTGTCCATCAGAATTTGGTGTATTGTCTTCGTTAAATTGTATATTTATTTATTTTTTTGTAGTTGTTCAATTTTCTTCAATCATTAAGTTAAATATGCTGGTTTTTTTGGGTGCAAAAGAAAATGAAATACCTGAATCGACAATGCGATTATAAATAATGATTACCTCTTGTGTTGATTTCATAACGGTGAGAATTTGAATCGGAACGAGAGAAAAAGAAATGATTTTTTTTTTGGTCAACGGTTTTTGTGTAAGTGAAAAACAGACTTTTGGTGTGTATTCAACGCAGAGGTATTAAAATGTAATTAGAATAATTATAACAAAACAATAAGACGTTTTCAGAAACATATGGGAATCGATTTTTTTTGTTTAACAAATTAATTTGTCCGAAAAGTAACAAAAATATGGAAATAAGTTTTTTTGTGGCTTTACCGATCCCGAATTTTGACGACTTAGAAATGATTGTACAATATGATTTCTATGCTAGATTCAGTGTTGGTGGTTTATTCTTTTCGTGTTGTATCTCTGTGTTTTTTATGCCAATTGGAAATCTCTGAGTCTCGGCGTAATTTCTCTCTGACAATTTAATTTTGGCACACATCGAATTTTGCACGTAATTCCGGCGATTCAGCGATTTTTATTCCTTTTTTTCTTTTTTGTTTCGTTTAAATATAAATTTAAATAACTTTCTTTAATTTTCTGGTGAGTGTTTTGCTTATTTAGTCATTGTTTTTTTTTGGTTCTGTTTATTCAATACTTCGTGTAAGTTGTTAAGTTTTTTTTTGTTCTTAAATTCGTTGTTTTACATTTTACACTACATCTCAAAAAGTAAATTTTATAATCTGCATTAGAATTTTGTGTTTATTTTTTCATTTTTTGGTGTTTTGTTGTTGTGTTGCATGTTGTTTATTTGGTTGATCGAACCGAAACTTAATAATTCCACTTGTCGACGACAACTTCATTCACTGTTTGCATTTTGTAATTTGTGTGTGAAGATATTGATTGTTTCGATTGTTTGAATGGTGTCGTTGAGACGATGACGGAACAGAAGAGAGAAAAAAACGAAATAAAAAGAAACGAAAAAGAAATCATTTAATTTCCAAAAAACATTGACATTCATTAGAAATGTGAAAAAATATTGTTTTTTTTTTTTCTTCTGAAATAATTAAAATGTATTTAAACAAATAATCGGTCATTTGAAGATCATACCAAAAGAAGAATTATGAATGAAAAAGTATATAACATGCTAAAACAACTCACTCTTTGTCTATGGGCATTCGTTTTTGGTTTCTAGTTTTCGAATAAACGATACATGTTCAACACTACGAGAAAAAAAACTGCATTCAAATTTATAGATGCAGGTGAATGGGCATTGCTCAGCATTGCGATCTCCATCATTAGTGGTATTTGTAAACAATTTGGAAATTAGCTCTGACATTCTTGTTTTATAAAAAAAAGCGTATTTCATTACGTGTGTATGTGACACACTCTCTGTGTGTTTGTGCAAGGGAATAACAAGTGCAAAATGATGTGGCAATGAAGAAGAAAGAAGGTTTTTCTACAGATTCAATGTATGTTGAAAAGATCAAGCACTTAAGTGTCTGTCCGATGTTCCACAGGTTCTGGATTGCATATTCCAAGGATTGGTGTGCGATGGTAGTTCGGTAAAGCAAACGTATTTTTTTCAAGCATTGTTTTTTTTTGTGGGCATGGGGAGGGTTCATTTAAAATCAAGGCATTACAAACTACAATATACAATTCATGTGGTTTTTTTTTAATTAAATAATCTAATTGTCTTAGAATTGTCGGTTTCACTTTTATTATTTAACTTTTTTTTATTTTCTTCCATTAATCGCTTTAAATAAATTATAAATGTACATAATAACATAGTTGTAACTTGTCTGCGCATCATCAATTCCAAAAATTAAAAAAAATCCACAAAGGAACACGTCAAAATTGCAAAATGAAACAAAAAAAAAAACAATTTTTTGTTGTTGTTGAAAAGGAGGAAAAGGGAAAACTTTGATTTGTGCATAATATTCGATTGATCAATAAAATCATGGCTACTGATAAGTCTAACGCGATTCGATAAATGGATTTTCTTCTCAAAAATTGAGGTCTTTTTAACAAAAAAAAATCCCTTTAAAAAACACAACGAACTCCTGATCGTATGTACAAAGTATGTATGAAGTATTGTGTGGCGGTCTTATTTCGTCTTGAATGAATTCGTTTTTGGTGTATGCACAGATGCGTAATGAGAATTGATGTCATAACAGATTGTTGTTGCTTTTTTTACAATTTCATTTTTATTATTTACCTACACTCTATTTACACTCTCTGTATCATGATTCCCTTGAAATTCCTGTGTATGGATGTGAAAAAGAATTGGATCGATCGATTGGTGTTTTGGTTTCGAGCGAAATTTTGTTTCGTGCACATGAATGCAGGGTTGATGTTGTTGTTTGCAGGTGTTGTTGATGGTATTTTTTTTGTGTGTGTGTGTGCTTTGTGCATATACATGTGTACAAGGTTGTGTGTTTATGTTTGTGTCTTCAAATAATTCAGATTTTCCTTTAAAATAAGATATTTTGATTCGCGTTCGTGGATCATAGATCGTGCATGGTTGAATGAAGGTAATTTCAATCAATTGTTTGATGTTCATGCGAAATTCTTCTAGGGCAAATTGATAATGTTGCATGTTGTGGGGGGTATATGCGTATATGTGGGTGTGTGGTTATGTCTGTCTGTCGGTTTGATATTAATCTAGACTTTAAAATGATACTACGATACTAAAACTTCATTCTCTCTCTCCTCAAAACGTCTCATGTGCCTCTATTTGGATTGATTCAATTATGTATTTTTTTCTTCGCAAAAGCCACCATTTCTTTTTTTTTAATTTTTTTTCGTAATTTGTTTTTTTTTTATTGATTTTATTCATATACTTGATTTCCTCTTTGATGAACTCAATTCATTCAAATCATTTGGTTTATTTTAAAAAAAATTATTTAGTTCTCATTATGGTTTTTTCTTTATTATGTGTTTTTTTTTGGCACACTTTAATGGAATCCTGGCTTTACTGTTTGGTGGCAAACCAATTTAACGGGAGGATGGAGAGGGATAATGAAAAAAAAATGGAGAAAAAATAAAATTATTAGAAAAATACAAGGAAATTATTAAATATAACGAAATATTCGATTGGCTGTTGATCCTTGCGATTCGAACAAGGAAATCAACAGTAAATCGAATAGATTTCAATTCTGGAATATAAATTTTTAAAAATAGGGTAAATATTACATTTATTTTGTTCAAACTACTTGGGTGTTGAGGCTCATTGTTTGGTTAGTTGGTGAAGGATATTATCCACACAAAATCTCAATCTAAACACGGTTTCATAAATGTTTACACACAAATATAAATATATATATATAAAAAAATAGGCCGTTAGACAAAGGATTTGGAGCATTGTGTGTAATATTTGCGTGTGGTGGCACAACTGAAGCAGCTTCAACTTCGCGCAGATTCAACCAAGTCGTACATGTTTTTTTTTTGGTGTGAATGCTAAAAAAGTCTATGAACAACTACATAATATTGCAGATTTTTAGTATAAAAAATACTTACGGGTAAAACAGAACCACATGACACATTGTTATTATTATGATATTTGTTTGGTTTTTGGAACAGAAAAATTAAATCACAGTTGACATAATTTTGGTTCTAAGTTTTAAATTTACGTACAAATAGCAAGCAACCAGTTTTTTTTTGGCTAAAATAAACACAAATATATTAAGAGCACTAAAAAAACATCACAAATCTGCATTGTATCGACACTCAGATATGTTTGCTGAGATGACTGTGACGGCGTTACATGGCCGATTTCGAAGACGATTGATGAACTTGGGTATGGTTTTTTTGTTCATAAAGGTTGGTTTGTGTGTGTGTGTGTATGTGGAATGTTAAAGTGGGAATTCTTGATGCAAGGTGGTTTTTTGCTTATTTTGAAATTGTGTGATTTTGTGTGCATTCGATGATTTATTTTTTGTTTTCTGACTTTAAAACGCATTACCGATATACATATTTTCCTTGATGTCTTGCCTAAATGAAAATCTAAACTCAAAAAAGAAACGACGCCATTCTTTCCAATCAAAAAAAAAATCTTCCATCAAAAATCAATAATTACAAAATATCATATTTTTTTTATATATATTGTTCGAAACGTCTTTTTACTTGAAATATTTCTCTTAATAATAAAACTTTAAATTTGTTTTTTTTTGTCACTTTTGTTTTCTCATATTTACAAATCATGAACTATTTTAAACCTTTCGTTTAACTTTTTTTCTCTTGTTTTTGTTGTCTTTCGTATTAACTTAATAGTTATTTTACTGATTCATCGTTTTTGTCTTTTTTTCTTGTCCGGCTGCACTTTTGCAGATGTTCAAAAATTGAACTAACAACATCATGAAATTCAACCGATTATTCATATTACTTAAGGTTGCTTTTGGCCTAATTTCGCCTCAATATTAGGCTATTTATACTCCTCGAAAATATTAAATTAACAAAAAAAAAAAAAAATGAAGAAGAAGAAGAGTCTTTAGATTTGGTTTTATCTTCAATGTTCTACTATGTTCTATTCGTGGATTTACCTATTTTATTGCGCGAAAGTAGTAAATCGTTATGTGAAAGTGTGTAAATTGCTCAATTGATGACTTCTATCGTTTGACAACTACACAATCCGGAGCTGAGGAGCTCTGTCTGTTAGATGCGATGTATTTGGAAACAGTATTTGGTGCTGCGAAGCACACTCGAAAATAATCCCTATCCGTGATCTGTGTGCGATGTCTAACTAAATGTTCAAAACTTGTCTTTTAACATTAGATTAACTGGCAGGCACTTTTCGTTCATTTCTACAATTTTCCTAAGAAGTGCTCATTTTCAATGAAGTGTGTATGTGTTCGAACATCGAAAAAGTAACAACAACAAAAAATTCGGTATATATTTGGCAAATCGATTGATTGAACTGGATTGACTGATTGATATAACTCATCAAATGGGCTGATATACACTTGACTTTGATGACTACCGTATACTGTAATATCAACGAACATTATCAAAACCCATTGGATCATGGTCAATTGTATAAAATATCATGATACTTTTTGATTTGAACCGATTGTCAAGCCAAGTATTTCTATCAAAAACTTCATTTTTATTTTGTATCAATTTTGATTTGAAATTTTCTCATTTAATTTCCTATCTATCGCATTTTAATTTCGCAAAATAATACTTTTCGAGAGAAAAAAATTGTTTTTTTTTTTCAATTCTTCAATCGTTTCACTACCAACCTCTATTTTATTAAAGAAAATAATTTTTATTCGCAAAACAAATGTGTTCCCCACAAAAAATACACCCTATGAAAAGTGCGCACATCATATCCTCATCATATTCTTCCCTATTCAGTCGATGTTATAATAAGGACAAAACCTAAAATTCATTTCTTGAATATTATTATTTACATCGAAACAAAAATGTATATAAAGCGAAAAAAAAAATCACTAATCTAAGGAAACCCGAAAACAAAGTGGAAAAAATCAACTCATTTATTGCAAAATGGAATTGCAATTGAGTTTTCACGAAAAGAAAAGGATTTTCAAAATGGTTCATCTACACGAAAAAATGCATAAATTTCAAAAGAAGAGTGTTTTTCTCTGGTCTAAAAGAATGTTTCTATCTTCAAAAATTTCGAACATTGGGGTTTAGTCTTTTTTCTAGTCGCTCTTCAAAAAGAATGGATAATATAAATACATTTTAATAAATATGAGGTCTTATACATTAGAGAAAAACTTATTTATTTTCCCTTTCTCTGTGTATTTTGTTCATCTTATTCATTTCTTGGAAAAGTATTGGTTTCATTTTCTCTATGCGAAGAACGAAAAATAAAATTAATCTTGATGCACAGCGGCGTGACTGCGTATCTTTATTTATGTGCTCAACTGTTCATTCTTTCTACGTCTCATATGTATCGTAACAATAGTAGATGTAAAAGATTAACTAGTTTTTTTTTCTAAGTCGCTAAATTCCGAATGAGGATCGTAAAAATGACGTTTGAATGCAATGAATGAATATGTGTCTATGCGTGTTTATGCTTTGTTTTTAAATGCATTTTCTCAGATGATATTTCTTTTCTTTCATAACTTTTTTTTTCCATTGACAAGACAAAACCAAAGTATCAATCTAGTATTTAACTAAATGACAAACAAAAGAGTACACACACAAAGTGTAAAAAAATTTTTTACAGACTATTTCTTCATTGACACAAAACAAAAAGAGATTGTAAAGGTGAGGAAAGTAAAAAAATAAAATAATTAAATTTGGAAAGTTTAACACAAAACGCTCGGAAATTCGGGTTAGAAGACAAACAAACAAACGAACAAACAAAATATAGAACAAGAAAAAAAACTAAGGTTATTGCGTAAAAAATTTGTGTTTTCTTATTCTCATTTGGAAAACATTCTCTGAAGAAAAAAAAAATTATTTCAACCGACTTTTCGAACTAAAATCGAAATTTACAGCATTTCAAAGCTTTTATATCGACAGCCTGGAACCGAGACAGAACTCTAAATAGAAGAGAATCGTTTAAAATGGTTTTGGCAAATAAATTGTACAGTCTGATTAAGAAGGATTTGTCTCGGTTGCGCAATCAGTGCCCATCTACTCGAAATGTTGTCGTATTCGATTTATGTTCGCCGAATGATCAATTTTGCTAAATATGAATTTTTACATCACACTCTGTCTTTTATCCACAACACATTTCCCCGGTCAAATCGAACATTCAATTACTCATATTGCAACTGGACTCATATATTAAATTAAATAGTTTACTCAATTCATTCAATTGGTGGATTAATTTTAATGTATATATCGCTCGTGTGCGTGGGCCATTCATTTTGGCAGAGTTGATCATTCGTTTAGAGTTTGTATCATTGATGCGCATAAACTAATGTTAAAGGCGCGCGCTAAATTGTAGTCGTTAAATTAATGCAAATTATATTAATTATTATTAATATTAACACATATAATAATAATGTTGTATAAATAATTATTTGTTGTTGTTGTTTAAATGAGCTATTTTAACAAAAGAAAACCGTATTATGAGCCATTCGGTTGGATTTTCATCCAATTTCTTGCTCGCTTCTGATGTTGTTGGGTTTTTTTCATACTTTTTTTTGTGTGTACACAATGTTTGTTTATGTATTCGATTCTTGTTGTGATTTTGTTAATCTTAATCAGTAAATTAATTAATAGGTCGGTTTGTTTTGATTGCTATCTCAACCAGTTGTGTTGTGGTTTCGATTACTTTTTTTTTGCTTTGTTTTTAAGGTGATTTGTTTTTAAAGTAGAGAAATTAAATTGGGCCATAAATAATCAAACCAAAAAACACTGCCCACATTAAAACTATCCACTGTAAACCAAACAATGGATTCGTACCGTCTGAAATTTTCCGTGCTGCGAACTTCAAGACTTCATCGAGGAGAACGACTGGAATCGAGAATTTCATTACAGTCACCCATTCATCACCGGTAAGTGGTGTCACTTGGAAGACGGTCTGTGTGAAGAGATAAAGGAAATTATAATTTTAAAAAAGAAAAAATTGATGAAGCGAAAAATGTGATGAAAAAAAGACCAGATGAATTCGACATGAGGCAAGAATCAAACAACAACAATAAAAACTCACTGAAAGGACTTCGACGTGAAGGATCACAAAGTGAAGAGTGAATGAGAGTGCCATTGAACCGATGAGCCACATGTTTTGCCATGGTGGCATTGTGATAAGTGATTGATTTTCAGACAAGCTAGAATAAAAAGTAAATGTTTATCAATTTTTTTTTTTTTTTCAAATTCCAAGTCGTTTCTCGTCAGGTTAGTAAATTTATATTTTTGTTGTATGGAAGAGAATGGTTTGCCATCAGATGGTTGATGTTTCGGCGTTTAATTACCTGTTCATTGCGTTCAACATTTCAATTGTTACCAATACAGACAAGGCCATGGTCATTGGATGTGGATCGCTGAAGATTTTGCAATCCATACCACGGAATTCGTCACCGCCACCAATGCACGACAAGTGATGTGTCAATTGCCAGTATGTCATTTGTGGACCATTCTCAGAGAACAAGAACCACCAAGAGGCAGCACCAACAGTGGCTGCACCGACATAGCCACCAATAGCCATATAACGGAAGAACAACCATCCTGAGATAAGACCTTCATCGGCTTTACGTGGTGGTTTTTGCATAATGTCCAAATCTGGTGGATTGAAACCCAATGCAGTAGCTGGCAAACCGTCAGTGACCAAATTGACCCACAACAATTGTACTGGAATCAAAGCTTCTGGCAATCCAAGAGCGGCAGTTAAGAAAATTGATACAACTTCACCAATGTTCGATGAGATCAAGTAACGAATAAATTCTGTAATGGAATTTATGATTTTGGTTGAGCATTTTTTTTAAAGAAATTATTTATTTGCGCGCAAGAGTAATTTTTGTATTTTTTTTTCTCCTATACTTACGTTTCATGTTATTGTAAATGGCACGACCTTCTTCAACAGCAGATACAATAGATGAGAAGTTATCATCAGCCAACACCATTTCGGCGGCTGATTTAGCGACAGCAGTACCTGATCCCATAGCAATACCAATTTCGGCTTTTTTCAAGGCAGGAGCGTCATTGACACCATCACCAGTCATAGCAGAGATTTCGTTCATGCCTTGCAAAAATTCAACAATCTTCGATTTGTGTGAAGGTTCGACACGTGAGAAGAGACGGGCACGTGCACAGGCGGCCTTTTGTTCGCTAAGTGGCAAGTCATCGAATTCACGACCAGAATATGATTTACCAGTGGTATCTTCGTCTTCAGTGAATACACCAATACGACGGCAGATAGCTTCAGCGGTGGCCTTGTTGTCACCAGTAATGACAATGACACGAATACCAGCTGCACGGCAGCGAACAATTGAGTCGAAAACTGAAATCGAAAAATGATATTTTTCATTAATAAATTGGATCAGTTTTTTATTCAGTAATTATCGCGCGTTTTTTTTTTTTTTTTTTCAATAAATTTACCTTCTTTACGTGGTGGATCCAACATGCCGACAACACCGACGAATGTAAGGTTGTTTTCATATTGGTAGAATTTGTTTGAGTCTCCCAAGTCCATGGTGTCTGGACTTTGTGGATTGTCAGCGGTGGCCAAAGCCAAGCAACGCAATGTATCGCGACCAGTACCGTATTGAGCAGTGAGTGACAAGATACGTGATTTGAGTGTGCTGTTCAATGGAACCTTGGTGGTACCAACACGAGCATGTGTACAACGTTCCAAAACACCTTCTGGTGCACCCTTGACGAACAATTTTGGACCAGTTCCAAGACGTGATGGTTTTGTTGGTATACAGTATGTTGACATTGATTTACGATCACGTGAGAATTCCAATGTGAATTCTTTCTTCCATTTGGTTTCAATTTCTTGACGAACAGCAATTGCAGACGAACGACGATCCAAACCGCTCTTGTTAACATTGAATGGATTTAGTTTTTCGGCCAATACAATCAATGCAGTTTCAGTGGCTTCGCCGACCTTTTCGAACACTTGTTTAAATTCATTGAAATCAATGGCTGAATCGTTGCACATCACACAAACGGTGGCAATTTCTTGTAAACCATCAAATTCAGATGCCTTTACTTTCGATCCTTTTAAGTACAAATCACCAATTGGCTCATAGGTTGAGCCAGTCAATTCGAATTCAAGGAAGCTACTTTCACTGCCTTCAACTTTATCAAAAACGAACAAACGTGAAACGGACATTTGATTCGTGGTAAGTGTACCAGTCTTATCGGAGCAAATAACCGATGTGCAACCCAATGTTTCGACGGATGGAAGTGAACGAACAATGGCATTCTTTTTGGCCATACGACGTGTACCCAATGCCAAACAAGTGGTAATAACAGCTGGTAAACCTTCTGGAATGGCAGCCACAGCCAATGCAACAGCAATTTTGAAATAGTAAATAGCGCCCTTGATCCATGAACCACCGTGAGCTGGATCGTTAAAGTGACCAATGTTAATGGCCCAGACAGCAACGCAAATAACTGAGATAACCTTTGACAATTGTTCACCGAATTCGTCCAATTTTTGTTGCAATGGAGTCTTAACCTCTTCAGTTTCCGACATTTCAGTACGGATTTTACCGATGGCAGTGCACAAACCAGTTCCAATAACAATACCACGAGCTTTACCGGATGCTACATTTGTACCAGAGAATAGAATGTTTTTCTTGTCTTGATTGACGGCACGTGGATCTGGAATACAATCGGTGTGCTTGATCACGGACACTGATTCACCGGTCAAAATTGATTGATCAATACGAATGGTGGTTGAGTAAATTTTGATGAGACGAATATCAGCTGGAATTTTATCACCAACTGATATCTCAACTATATCACCAGGAACAATTTCCTTGGCTCGAACTTTTTGCACGCCGGCTTTGTCTTGCCGAACCACTTTGCCCATTTCTGGTTCATACTCTTTAAGCGCCTCAATAGCTGATTCAGCATTACGTTCCTATTGTGCACCACACGAAGACAGCAAAAACAAAAACGAAGAGGGATACAGAGAAATAAAATAATGAATATTGCTTATTCAACAAAATTTGCAAGACATGTATCAAATTTCTTATGTAATCGCATATTTGCTTACCTGCCAAACACCAACGATTGCATTTGCAATTAAAATTAACAAAATAACAAGAGGTTCAACAAAAGCTGTGAATGTTTCTTCGTGTTCTTCGAATAGAGCTAATACCTGTACAGAACCAAAAAATTTCAACGAATTTCGTCAATTAAATCATATCAACATGCCAGCAAACAATGAACTTACGAATGAAATAATAGCAGCCAACAATAAAATTTTAACCAAAAGATCATCGAACTGTTCTAAAACTAATTGCCAAATGGTTTTTCCTGATGTAAAAATGAGAGAGAAAGAGAGAAAATGCGCATTTAAACAACTATTATCGTTATAAAACTTGTGTTGTTTTAATGTTTATCTTTTGATATAAATAATAGCCGTATCGTACGATATCTGTACAAATATCCAAATCTGTAAGACAAGAGATACACGGAAATGAATGCATCCATGTTTGGAGAAAATAAATTAAAGCGAACATCATTCACAAAATGATCTATATGTTAAAATCCAGCCCGCATATTGTGTTTGCCACAAAAAATAATTCATCTTAATTGATTCATTCAAAAAAAAAAAACGTACGAGACACACACACAAAAAGCGGCATGACTATGTGACTGGTTTCATTTGAGCTTCTCATAATCTGTAGAAAAGGGTACACATTGGTTAAATTGTCTATCGTTAAGTAAATGTAAGGATGTTTTTGTTTGTTTCAATTTTATGGTTTTTTTTTTCATCTCTGCAATTGAAAGTGGTGATTGTCTATGGAATCTAATCTCTTTTATTTACTCGCATCGAATCGATGTGTGCTCTTTTTTATTCAACACATATTTGAGATAGCTTTTTTCGCCAGCAAGATAAAGATCACTTTGAAGATGATAAGTGAATTTTCGTAAAATCAAAAACAACGATAAAACGGTTAACAATGAAATTGTATTTTGTCGTCTCAAAAATAGTGTTCCCTCGGAATGATTGCTATTAGATGCGAATAGTTGATCTAAAACAATGGATATATGGTCAATCATTTATTACACTTGTATCTCAAAATCTTGTCAAATTTGTTATCTTTTATTTATCGGATGTCCATTGATTTGATTACTTACCCTCTTCAGTAGGGAGCTCTGAAATGAGATTGAAAAAATAAAATAAAATTGATGAATAACTTGAAAATACACACTACAAAATATTGCAAACAAATTTGATCATGGTAATTGAATTTAACATGAAATATGGTAGAAACACTTTAGCCTGTCTCTTACGCCTTTCACTGTAATGCGTGCCATTTTCCATTAAAAACTTGTCAATTTTGAACTTGGATGAAATTCAATTGAAAACCAAAAATATGGTCTACAGAAAGGAATTCGAATATGTCAATTTACATGTATACGGGGTTTCGATGATGATATATGCAGCGCGCATCTATCAATAGCATTTCTATGTCACTGTACTATATTGACGAAAAACTCGTACACAAAATATAAAAATAGATAGAATGCCAGCGAGTAATCAATGAAGTTTCAAACTGAATGAAAATAAAAACAAATGAATAAAAAAAAACTATGGTATCTATGGCAAAGTGCAGCATAAATTAAGTTACAGAGCGGAACAGAATGTCATCAGTAGCATCGACAACGACAACGAATGAGCCTTCGCCTCACTCGGCTTTGATCATGTTGGCACACAAATCAGTTGAGTTTTTGTCGATTGTTGTTGTTGCTTTTATTTTTTTTTTTTGTCGATGGTGCTAAACTTCATTTGGTCTATCAACTCTGACACGAAAGTGTCAAAGTGTATTTAACACACAACTACCTCTGAACTAATGGACAACATCAAATTATACCGAACTATTACCATATGCATTCTAAATGCATATTTATATATATATAAAATGGAAAATGTGCTTTGAACGAAATGAAAACTATATGTAAAATGATATAAACAACTAAATAATATTGTACGAAGTTCTTGTAAAATGGATACGTGCATATTCATTGAAATGACTATCGATGTGATGCATTTTATATTTAAACATACGGCGCGATTCGATGCAAATAAAATGGTCACAGTTTTGATAAAACATTGTTATCAAAACGATAAATAAATCGAGAGCAGGCGTTACGAATGAGTACAGTGTATATCAACAACATTGCATCCATCGCAGCAGCGTTAAGCCGAAAAGTTTACTAAAAGTAAAAAAGCAACAACAACAGTTAAATGAGTTGACAAGGTCAACAACGGTGAGCATGAGAAAGTTTTCTTATGCATTTTCGAGAAAAAAAATTGTAAAAGATGGAGCTTGAATGTGACATTGAAACCTGCATCGCTCCTTGATCAGTTTCTATCAGCACTTAAACTGCACAACTAATTGAAAAATCATTTAAGAAACATTTACGTCATATTGTTGCTTTTTTTCTTTCTCTCTTATGAAATTCACTATACGATTTGCATGAGCTGCATAGAGAGAGAGAGAGGGTTGGTGGGTGTGTGTGAGTGACAGAATCTGTGACGTTAACGCTGTAGCGTATTAGTTCTTCGGGATTCCTCTCTCGCCTTCTCCCTCTCCGCCCCCCCTCTCTCTCTCTCTCCCTCTCTCATCTCGTAATGGAACGAAATATAGAAAAATAAAAAAAAAATTGCACAGACAATCGTCTGTTTGTATCATATGATTTTCAATGTACATGCTATAATTGTTGGTTTGAAAATTGGGCAAAGAGCATTGAAATTGAAAATTAAAAACAAAAAAAAAATCAAATGAGCGAACAACGCTATTGCAATGGAAATTGAACATATAATGTAATCATTCGATCGTTTCTTTCGTCATTGCTGAATCTGTGACGTCAGAATGTTTAAGCCAACAAATTTCGTGTGTGTTTTCTGATCTTTTCGATTTCTAATTTTCGACATGCATAGTATTTTCATCGTGTCGCTATGTTGAGTGAGTGAGCTTTAATATGGTTATATGGAAAATCCAAGTGGAAAATGACATTGTGTTTACTTGAAATGGCGTGACAGAAAAAAAAAAGTATTTGTTTATGTTTGCTCAAGCAACAGATGGTTTAACTAATAATTGTAACATATACATACCATTTGGTCCATATTTTTCTTGATTTCGCTTGATTTGATCCAATGATAAACCGCGCTCTGTATCAGTTCCAAAATAATTTACAACCTCATCGACGGTTTTTGCATGGCCGTCCTCCATTTTGAATTAGTTTTCTGTTGTTCGGTAGCTCTGCAAAAAAAGAGAAGAAAATCATTCAGAAACAAAATATAATTAATTGAAATTTACTTTCAATTGAAAAAGATGACAGTTTAAAAAAATAGTTCAATTTCAAAATTTTCTCTCTGTCGAGCAGGAGCGTGCGCGGTGATTTTTGCGTGAGTCCAACATATCATTTGCTATTTGAAAATTACACAAGGAAATCAAACGAAAATCGACGACTACTTCTTCTTTATATTCGCTAATTTGTGTTGTAACTTGATTTCGAGATCGAAAGTAATAGACACGATCGGTAAATTTTTGTTTTTGTTTCATTTTCGTGGATGATCGCGTGGCATTTTGCCGAGATTAATTGATATTACGTCAATCGAATTGCCATTGAATTATTTGGAATATAATTATATTCACGTCTAATGCCATTGAGTATGCCTCTTTCGTGTTATTTACCAAAATACATTCATTCTTTTGTTCATTTTGTTGTCTTTTTCGATTCACAGATTCGATTCCCGCGATATCGAGCAAAATGCACACACCCACACACACACTCATTTTCCCATCTCAAAGAAATTGTATGGCGATAATTTGTAATTGAATTTGGTTCGATGTGCCTTGGCTACGCACATTTAACATTGTATTACGCCAAAAATGCGTAAGCATTTCAACGAATTCTATTGCAAATGCAAGTTCAACACCAAAAAGATCCATTTCAGTACTAAATGCGTGTGTACCGTTTTTGTTGTTATTATTTCCTTCGGTCTGAATAAGGTTCGAATTGATTATCATAATAATTTTTTTTTTGCGCCATCGATTCGTTTGCAATGCTAAATGTGGACACCGTATTTACTTTTTGTTCTTGTTTAAGTGAGCACGGCTACTCAATGAAAATTAACGTGTTTTGATTACGGTCTAAATAATTCCACGAATTCGAAATACAAAGAGTCTCATTCGATTCGTAGTCACGAGGGGAACTTTTCCCCAAATCGTAATTACACTCGAATTCCTATCAGCACATTCAGCGAAACAGATAATAATTTTGATTTTTACCGGTTCACTATTTTTTTTTGTTCATTGATAATGAAATGGCCATAGGTGTAATGACATGGATAAAATGGGAAAAAAACGTCATGTATTTGAGTGTGTGTTTGTTGGAAATCGCAGTTAGTATTACGCAATCATATTGTTGAACTCTTCCGTACAACTCAATCGTTATATTTGGTGTGCGCCATAATTAGAATATGGAGAAAACGAAGAAGACACACTAAAAAAAAAACAACAGAGAAGAGTAGTGAAACATATGCGGTGTTTATCCACGATGAATAAGACCGATTATCAGTTGCCAAGTCAACATTCTTCGTTTTTATGAATTTAATAGTATGATAGAATGGACACAAACATACGTACACACACACACACACACAGCCACACACAAACATACACGTAAGCCGACACTACAAAAGCTGTGCGTTCGTGTAAAATAATTCGTTTTAGGTTATGTTTTCACAGCAAAGCGCTATATCGTGACACCCAATAAGTATAATATATCTTTTATGCAGGAGATGAGCCACGGCATTGTAATCAAACAATTGTACTAATGCAAACGATTCCAGTTCAATACGTTTTATTTTATGTTTGTTTCTTCCTGTGTGTCTGCTTCGCATGACAAACAATTTCGACAGATGATCATCTTCAATGAAATCCAATGTATGGTTTATTAGTAAAAAATGCAATTTAACCGATGTTATAATTTTGATATGTCGGACAATCACACCATACAAATTCTATTTACGAAATTTAAACTGATCCACGATCAATGGTCACACTCTCAATTTTTTGCTGTTCAATGCACAAAAACAACGCAACTTTAGCAAACGTTTTGATTTATTTTCGATTAGAAACGCACAATTTAAATTACGATTAATAAATCATTTGATATGTGTGTGTTGATTTGAAGCATCAAAACCGTGAGCTATAAACTGAAATGCTCACATTCAATTATTGAAAATTAACCATTAAAAAAACTGTATATTTTTCGCACAACGTGACAAAATTTTGAACGTGTATTTGTTCGGTGAACGTGAGCTGATTACGATTCGCATTCGACTTTCTATGAATGTTCTTGTTGGCTTGTCACACAAAAGACAGGATAATATCTATCAACAATTGGTTTTTTGTTAATAATTGAAAAGGAACTACAATGGTTGTTGGCATAACGAATTTACAAAAAATGATAATTGTCACCACTCACTTCTTTGATTGGAAATTAAGAAAAAAAATCACCAATTGAATTTTAGCTGCATAGATTTTTAAATTTTATTTTATTTTTCTATTAAGAATTGTAAAACGCACCAATATTTTTGGGAACAGCACTACAGTGTACGACAACAAAACAACAATTCAAGAACTTATCCTTAATTGCACTAACGATATTGACAAAATGAATTCAGTTGTCGAAAGAAAATGAGCGAAAAAGAAAGACAGAGAGTTAGAAGAACAACCAGCGGTTAACAGCAGAGTGGGAAAGACTATGAAATAGAATATACGCGTTGTAATAGTGAAAATGTACGCGTTAGCGGCCGCAAATAACAACAACAACGGTTTTATTTGACTGCAACAAAGGCTGTGCTTACTACTCCTCTGACAATAGACATACACACCGATACATACACGTCATTCGGTTCTTTTTTCTTCTTTTTCTTTTTCACAAAGCGACATACATATGTAGATAGATATATATATGCGTCAAACGCGCACCGAATGACATGATACCGAATCGCAAATATGGTGTATGGACAGATGTGTGAAAGAGAGATCGAACGAACGTGACAGAGATAAAAGAGAAAGAGAAAAAAAGAACTCGTTTCAACGTGTACCCAATGTACAATCGTCTGATATACGTGTTCATATACGTACCAATACAATTGCACCACGTATTCGTATGTTCCTATGACAGAGTAACACGTGTACTTGAGACTTTATGTCAAAAAGAGAATTGAAGTCAGCAAAGTCAATGGAAAAAAATAATAAATCACATATGTGAAACCGATTGAAATATCGGCTAAGCAATAGGCACTGAATTAGAGCCAAACGATGACACAAAATATCCTAAGCGAACGCTGGAGAAATTAAGCGTATACGTCAATGGTTTTTATTTTTTGTGAAAAATTCGAATTATCGTTGATCAGTGTCGATTGACAAAATATACAAAGAAAAAAAAAACGTGAATAAATGGAATATTTGCACTTCGTTCACATGTGCAGTACATGGTCCATGGCTAAAAATGAAAATCATGTTAATGCAACAGTGATTTGAATTTTATTTGGTTTGCGAATAGAGACGAACGAACAAAGACGACAACACATTGCGATGACAATGGGGCAAAAAAGATGTGTGAAAACGAAGTAAAACCATTCAATTGGATATATAATATTCATAAACGTTTGAAATGGGCGAGATAACGTGAGCACCGCATTATTTTTTTTAATCACACGAAAAAGTACTTGAAACAAATTATTTTACGACCTTCCATCTCTCGTCAAATCTCAGCTTGAATTTCATAGCATGCCGAGTGCGAGAGAGAGCTGACTGAAGGCGTTTCAAATTTTGCGGGTTATTTAGACTGACATTAGACGGATTTCTTTCCATACACAAACTACATGATCTAGAAATCTCAAACATTGTCAATTGTATGTATAAATGTCGTTCTGTCTTTTTTCCTCTTCTACTTGTCGCCATGCCATTCGCAAATCTCATCATATAAGCAAGAATGAAAACTATTCTGGGTTTCGCGTGTCATTTTTTTTTCTCTCAACGTCATCGGTGTGCGTCTCGTATTGCAGCATTACACTTGAAAGTGCCTTGTATTTGAAATAAAATCCAATGCTACTTGTTTCACCAACTGATCGAACTATATTTTACGCTTTCTTCTAAAGGCACCTCCAATCTTCTCATCTCTTTTTCTCTTCAACTCTTTCGCTATCTCTCTGTGTGCATTTTTCTTTTTCTCTCACTCACTTTTACTCGTTCAATAAAAATGCTGCGGTCGGTATACGTATTGCATTTCATGCAAAACGTTTCGTTTTCAAACGATACATCGTAAAATGTATGAAAAAAGAAAGAAAACTATTAAAATAATTCGTCATTTATTTGCACTGTTCCGATGGCTTGTTGTTGGAAAATCGTGAAGTGCTTATCAGAAATTTCAACTCCACATAATACACACGGTACATATTTGTGCAAATCGAGATAAAAGAGAAACACCCGAAATGAAATGGAAAGGGACAACTACGAAATTAACACTAAAATTTGCTTACATATTGTTAAGATGAAATTGTTGTCTGTGATCTTGGCGCACACACACACACACACACACTTATTTGTTGTTATTTTTTGATTAAATGATTTGATTGTATCAGTTTACCGACGTTGCGACGTGTACTAAATAAGTAATTTTCGAAAATCGACTACAGAAATTATCACCTAAGCATTAAATTATGAATTGTTTATTTAAAATTCTATATGGTTTTTATGTTTTGTATGTGTGAAATTTTGTTCTCCAATTCCTTGGTAGATTCACGCACATTCACAATTTTAGACGGATACACGAGACAAATGTTAACTATTTCTGTTTTTTTTTTCTCTTACTTTGTTTTGTGTTTTTTTAAATTAATTCTTTTTAGTTTCGACTTGGTTTGACTTGATTACGTGTTGGAAACGTTTTACGTTTGAGAAAATTAAATTGTTATTATTTTGATTTATTTTTCTTTAGTGTTTACAATATATCCTACAATTTGTTAGATTTGTTAAATTTCAATAAAAACTAAGCTAAATTGGAATTCGGTTTTGTTTTATTGGTAATCATTATTGAGTCTGCCCCGTTCTTTATTTCGATCTGTTAATGTACGAATGATGTTTTTGGTTGGTAATTGTGTGCAATAACAGAACGAAATCAGCGTCTGTATATCTGAATTCTCTGTCTGTTTCAAAAACTATTCTTTAACTTATTGTTTGTTGTTTTATATTTTTTTGGTTGTTTCTATTTGGCTATCGACATAAGTTCGAATAAAAAAAATTGTTTGTTCTTTATTGTTGTTTTTGTTCGAGTTTTTCGGATGCGTTTACACTATTTAAACAATAAATCACGAATAGGCAGAGAGACAGCGTGCGCAAGCGAACGGTGTGATCAAAAGTTTACTACTAATCCAAACGAATTCAAAAAACTAATTTTTTACGTCAATCGGTATTGTTTCGCTAAAGAAAAATCTCGCATACACACACAGAGAGAGAGAGAGAGCCATGAACGGTTGAACACAGTCGCTATTTTATACACCGTGACCGTGTATTGGTTTGTGAGTATTTCAATGTATTGCGATAATGATGGTGATGCTGTTGCTATTGCTGTTTGCCTGCGATGAAAATGCACAATTTGCCTTGTCTTTCAGCCAAATGTGTTCTTTTTTTTCTTCTTCTCGTATTAATATTAGAGTCAAGATTCGTTGCAATAAAAACTTGCTTATAAATACGGTAACACTCTAATTCATCTGTCTGTTCATTTTGTTCTTGGCCACACTTTTCTTCTTCTATCTCGTTCTCTCGCAAAGCAATTTCATTCCTTGGCATTCTATAACCGAACCGAGAGTTTATAAATCTCTTTCTCGATTTTTTTTCTTTCTCTTTTCGTTCTCATTCTCAACACCAATACCAGTGTGGTGAAAGGATAGTACTTTTTGAATATTCGTATTTGTGGTGAGAATGAAATTGACAATTTATGGCTGAATTTTGTGTGACAGCATGAGAGATAGAGCGAGAGAGAGAGAGAGAGACAAGTCCGAGCACTGAGAGAATATGACAAAATGAATTGTCAACGTTTTTAATGTAACTCATAATGCAAAAAAGTAAACAAAACTGAGAATGAATTGGACGCTGTGGTGCCATCTATTTTAATGCAATGCGTCTAACTTTAGGTAAAACTAAGCATTTAAATTTTAAAGCGGTTTCAATTTAATTTTTATTGAATTGCATCCGTTTCTAATTTAAGTTAAATTCTAAATCTATGTAAAATCTGTAAATTGGATAAGAAAACTGTAAATAAACTCCATTACATTTTTTTTGTATCACAACTAACCAAAAATATTTTGGTAAGAATTGATAAGGCGCACACTGATTTTTTCTGCCATCGGACCCAAAAAAATTGTCCGATGCCGTGATTTTGTGCGACTATTTTTTCATAGTATTTTTATGTACAAAATAGATTTCATCCGTTCATCCTAATATTATGTACTGAGCACAGAGAGAGACATTGGTAAATTGTGATATATGGCAAGGATACATAAATTTATCAAACCAAATAGTTGGGTGAAAAGAAAAACCCTGAATTTGAATTTATTGAGTACAAAGAGTTATGTTGTTTTATCGAATTAATTCGCTATTGGTGTTGTTTGTTATTCAAAAAGTTTCAAATAATATACATCACTTTTCTGAATCTCAATCAACTGAATGACATACTTTCAATGTGGCCGAAGTCAAATCGAAAAAAATGCGGTTTAATAATAAACATTTGCAAAGCGACAGCCTTGATTCAGTTAATATGCAGGGTAGCAAGTGATTTTTCTTTTTATTTTCGAAGAGAGAGAGAGAGAGAGAAAAAAGGAGCAAAAAAACCGAAAAATATTATTAAAAAAAAAAACATACGTTAATATTTTGATGGCGATAATACACTTTTAAATTGCACCAATAAAAAAATTGAGAGGAAAAGATAGATAGATAGATAGAGAGAGAAGGATCGCTCGCTTACGCTTTAATCAAGGACAACAAACGAAAAAATAAATGAACAATTGCTATCCTTAGCTCAATAGATGCGCACCGTGTGACGAGCCGTGAGAAAGATCTTCAAATGCAAACTGATTGTTGAAAAGTGCGCTCAATCTATTTTACAGAACGTTTGGCGATCGCATTTGCTCATCGGAAAAATGAAATGTGTGTCTTCTTTTTTCTTTCGGTAATTTCGAGTACATTTGTTTTATGCGCTGCCGGAAATTGATATTTCGTTTCTTCTTCTTTTTTTTTCGTTTCAAATGCGGCCGAGAGATATAGAAAAATTATATAACCGGCACATTCATGCCGAACATTGTTATTAAAATTATAATTGTGTATTCAGGCTTCGGAAACATTATTTATAGTATCTGACGGTAGCTCGCTAAATTCTGGTTTATGCCCGAGCGAACAAAGCTTTGTCTTTACTACTCTCGTTTTTATTCTATCTATATTTTAAATGTGTAGTCCCAGGGCCCTTGAAAAGCCATTGGTCTTTCACAAGAAGAAAAAAATCTATTTATCTTTATGTTCGCGATTTTATGTACGCATGTACTTATTACTCGATCTCGTATGTGCACATGAACATGCTTACGCTTTGCCATCATCGCAAAACAATGAGCTTCTGTTATTATTGTGGAAGAAGAAACCGAATAGCAACGACAGACGAGAGAGAGAAGATAGCGCTAGTGACAATCGAAAATGTTTGCGCGTTTATCGGTTCTCATCATGTCAGTATGCTTAAAAGCCGCCCACACCTGTGAAACGACTTAATTTGCCACTGCGAAAAATTGAAAAATCGCATCACAAAGCAGACACACGCACACCAAATACGACACATTTCCACGAGTTTTTCACGTGGAAAGCGACAGATATTCGCAGTTTTTTTTTATAGACGTCATCAACTGATATAGCCATTGTATAATCAATTATCCCAGATCTTTCGGCGTGTGACTACGGGACGAGCGTACGATGTGATCGTCATACAACCACCATCTCTCACATGATAATCGAAAATAGCGCAAATATCAAATCAGCCGAGCAACAAGAACACAAGTAAAACCGAGAACCTATCGGGATCACAACAACATCGACAAAAAATGTGGCTTAAAAGATGAAGAATAGTATCAGAAATCGGTACGGAAAAGGTCGACATAAAGAAAATATTCAATATTCAATTGACGTGAGCTATTGTTATATGATGCTTTTATATGAGCTTTTAAACATCGTAACAGACGTCGTTTTCGTCGTAGTCTTCGCTGTCGCAGTCGAAAATGAGAAAACCACACAACGATAAAGATACGCTCATAAAATCTCACGTCAAACAAAAAAAGAAAAGAAGAATGATTTTCAAAATGAACATGCGTTTGCCATTCTATAAGTATTTGCAAACTTGGGACTACTGGCTATTATCGAATTTGTTCATTTTCATTTTTAGTTTAATTCGTTTTTTTTTTCTTCTCTCATTTGAAACGTATGAAACTGTCCAATTGTGTGGCAATATAGTGCGTAGTTACGTTTTGTTTTCAAAGTAAACGGTTTTTATTTATTGGCTATTTTCTCACTTGTCAAAGCGAATTAGTTATCCTTTAACTTGCAACATTTGCTTTTGTATTCCTCTCTCCCTCTCTCTCTCTCTATCTCCTTTCATCTAGCTGGGTGTCTGTTTCGTTTTTATATTATTTTGACAAAATGATAGGCGGACGAGTATTGTGAATATCAAAAATGTCTATTAAAACGAATGGAATTTCGATGGTGGTCTGGTTTACCGTTGTCATTCCACAAACAAATAATAATAATAATTGGCAGCTTCTTAGCGCTGAATGCATATCTGTTTCTTTGCGGCAGCAATTAATGATGATGAATCCTTCAGAAATCGTTTGGATTTCTCACATAAATTGATGCATAAAATTTGAATAAATTTGAAATTTACACACACACACCGCGGGAGATATACAACCGTATACCAAGTTATTATTATTATTTCAATCATTAATGTGGCTCGTAAACCAGACTCATTCGGCCGTTCGGTATTTGTTCGGCGTGTCTGTGTAATGTCGTGCAATATATTTCAATGCGAAAAAAAAGAACGAAAAATACATTTATAAATTTTGTGATGTACATTTGGCACATCAGTGGCAACAGCAGAGATCATTTGGTTTTAAAATGCTAGTTGAAAATCGGTTTATAAATAGAGCTTGAGTATGAAAAAAAAGTATTAGAAAAATGGTTTGCCTTCTATTTTGGCCATTTTAATGTGAAAATCACACAATAAAACATTTGCGAGAGCGAAAAAAAAGAGAAGAAGTTTTGACAAAATCAGAAGGTTGAAAATGAATACGTGCAAAAAAAAGAAATAAGGATACAATGCGCGTTTAAGATGCATTTTTAAATTATATTCTTGCTACATTATTGTTATGAGCAAAATAATCACAAACACACACACACCGAGTATAATTATTTTGATATAATCGGTAGATGCAACTCTGTCCTGTGTGAATCCTCCGTTTCTATTCATTTTTTTCTTCTTCTCGGTGAACGCGTGCGATAAATATTATAATATATACACGAACAAAATAACGTAAGAAAATAGAAACCGTTTGATCGAGACGCAAGCGTATATAAGCTCATCTGGATTCGGTTTACGCTCCTGAATTCTATTTTTAAATGCATTTTTTCCGCGTGTCTTATGTCTCTTTTTCTCGTTCTGTCTTTTTTCAATGCGCAAAAAAAAGAAAACAAATACAACAACGAGTAAATCCTGTACTGCTATTTCTGCGAACGTACACCAAATATTCGTCGCTGTTTTCCACTTTTTTTTCACCAATTCGGCTTTTCCCCAATTATATAATGAATGCCATAAGACACACAAAAAAAATATGTATAAATATTTTTGTAAAAAAATGAGTTTTTCCTTATTTTATTTGGCCCCAATGCTGTATACACGCATCGAAACATACACAGACTGCGTGCTACGCATAAACGTAGTACGCATTTTCAATATTTTAAATTGACGATCACAATTTATTGTATTTTATGCGGAACCGTTTTTTTTACACTAGTCTGTTAACATTTAACAACATATTTTGGGATGCCTAATGGAGTGAACAGGACACAGACAGATTTTCTTAATTGTTTTTTTTTGTGTGTGTTTCGGTGGTCTGTGCTCTCATTTTTCCGTTTTTTCCATTGTGTTTGATTGATTGGTGTGTTCCGTTTCATTGTCGTTTCGTGTATTTTACTTGAGCATTTGAGATGGCGAAAATTCAAAGTTCGACGAGTCAAAATAGACAAGCATGTGTTTTGGCTCGTTATATTCTCAATATTATCTATTTGTATTTGGTTTTGTTGTGTTTCTTTTATAGTGTA